AAAGTACGAAGGAAACAATTAAGTTCTCACTAGTAGCTCGCCAGCCGATCGGGATCTCACCCTGGCCTCTTTCTCTAAATACAGCTTGACCCCTCAGATAGAAATATTGGTTCTTCCAGTTCTTATCACTGAACTGTAGATCGGTCACCAAGTGAGACCGATCGTGCCTCAAGTTCAACAAGTAACGACCCTTCTCTTTATCATTCTCCATCAAGAAGTACAAGTACAACAGCTCGTGCAGCCCGAACCTCACTTGGTTCCAAAACATAGAGGTCTTCCAAAGCCATTAGCAGTCTTTAAGCATTCGGCATAAGCTGAGATGGGGCAATCATGAAGTGGTTGAGTACTTCCCACACGAGGCAAGGGACGGGTAGCCTCAAACCATCGTGAAACCACTTCTCATAAACACTGATCCAACCTTTAGCCTCACAGTCAACCCACTCATACGACCATGGCATCCGGATGTCAACCGAACTTGGAATGTGATACAAGGTCCGGATGCCCCACACATCACTATCTTTCAGCACAGGCGGATAGTCTCTAGTCAAAATCCCGCTGCCCTGTTGGCTTGGCGCCTCCCTAGAGCCACTACCGGAGGAGGACGAACTACCAACTCCTTCGTAGTCTTCCCCACTTCCCCCATGCCTACCCGAACCACTCAGGCTGGGAGTACTCGCACGTGGGGCAGCTACACTAACTCCGATCGGCACCCCAATCGGGACGCCCTCTTCAGGCATCATCACTATGGTGGGGGCACGCTCATATTCATCTCCAACATCCATCCCAACCTCACTAGAGCTTGCTGATTCGGTGTCTGACATGACGGCTAAATCGCCCAGCCCGCCCGACCGACTCCGTGTTAGCTTCAGAATTCCTAAAAACTGTCAAAGAACCACTCGCCCTGAATGGGCGACCGAACGAAGGAAGAGGCTCACACACTACTGATCGCCCTTCAGCACCAGTCGACCTACCCGACAACAAGATCGCTCCCTACCCTTGATCGACCCCTCCAACCGACCGACCCTGGAACCAAGTTCAACAGAGCACTGATTCGCTCGCCCCAAACGACCGACCCACCTCCAAGCTCAAACCTAGGTACCTACTTGCCCTGCTCACCAATCTACCAACCTAAAAACACCCACTCGCTCTGGATGACCGATCACCTATTCAATCCAAGCCACACGCGCCCTCACCACTTGGTCAGATGGACTTACCGAACCAAACAATACTTAAATCGACTTCGTCTTCCCGATTCTACCTAAAACGCTCGAAAAAGCACCAAAAATAATAGCCAACTTGCCGGAAACACACCGAAAATCTGAAAATCTGAGCCTATTCTAGAAAACCAAAATGCCAACACTTCTAAACTCCTCAAAACCAGTCAAAACTACTCAAATTTTTCAAAAACTTCACCCCTCATCCAAAAACCCAGCAAATAACGGAAACAAACCCAAAAATCAGTCCAAAGGAAAGAAGATTTACCGTAAAGCGACACACTGCAGAGAGAAGGCCACCACCGCTTCAAGAAACCGAAATGAAAAGAAGAAAGAAAGAGAAGAAAATTTTTGAAACACAGAAAATGGAAATGGAAGACGAAGAGTCTGTAAAATCGTTTTTATAAAAAGGATCTGACGTAGGCCGACACATGGCGACCCATGAGTGGCCGAGGATCAGAGAGACTCCTCGTTTTCCCGCCTCCAGAACGAAGATGGATCAGCACCGTATGCGTGGCAAGAATCTAAGTAACCTAGGAAACTGCAGTGTCGTATGGAAGATGCGTTAGATCGCCCGAGCACCCCGACCGAGCCAGCACACGACAGCCAGATTGTGCCTGACACACATCCAATCTACACAGGCCCATGAGGTACTCCTGGTCGGTCGAGAAGCTTCGAGTTGCTCGGCCTACACTCGTTCTCCAAGAGACCAAACCGGGATGCCTCGCTCATTCGTTCTTCTGTAGCGAACGAGTAGTCAATCACTGGTCGAGACCCGCATTTTACACTCACTCGATCACCTATATACCCCGACCGAATGAACCTTCGGTTCAATATGATCCCTAATTCGGTCGACCCGGCATGCTGAACAAACGCCCCAGCTATAGTACTGCAGCTTAGTTCTCTAGTCGGTCGGACGTACCGAATGAGCGCGTGAGCCTTCGAAGCCCGTTTCTCTTTTCCTTCGGCCCCCTACACCGATCAGGTACATCATTTTTCAATGATAGCCTACATCGGATCAGGAATGGATACCGAACGAAACCTGACCAAACAATCACCTGCAACAATCGGATTACTCATGCCGACAATCGTTCATCCAGGAAGGAAGACTGAGCTCACCTTGATCGCTGCCTACTCTCTGACTTAAGAAACTCTTAACTCAGAGAGTGGGGGACAAACTGTTAGGGCCAAAAATCGCCCTTGACCCAAATAAGTAAACAAGACCACTAGTGAAGGAAAGACCGGGCTTAGTCCTAGAGAGGCCCAAGCCAGATCGGTCCCATTTGATACGAAATATGGCCGACCCAAACTATCTGGGTACGGGCCTCCCAGTTCCAGCTCACTTCTTGGGTTTATAGGCGAGTTCCGAGCCCACAGCCCATTGATCATATTCCTGTTCCTGATCAATCTCCTATTCGAAGTCATTTTCCTGTTCAGAACATTTTCCTGATCAGAATCACCTTCCTATTCGGACACTGGTAAGACGGCTTACCACGGCCCTAATTCTTCTAGGGCTTGCACCAGAGTCACATTAGGACTCCTACTCCCACCAGGATTGGGAAACCAGACAGTCACTATATAAACAGAGACCAGCCCTCTCACAAGGGACATTACACCTTCACACCCGAAGCTCTTACTCGAGAGCTTTACATCACCGCCGTAGTCACAGTCCCCGACTAGACTTCCGGTAACCTCTCACTCCCTAGCCCTCACTATATTAGCCTTTCAGCCTTGCTGACTTGAGCGTCGGAGTGCCTACGGCAAACACCGCCCCGGTGTTTCCCCGTTCGCTTCACGCGTGTGTTTTTCTACGTGTGCAGGTACAGCAGATCGCTAGTGGCCTCATCCTCACGGGATCAGACCCCCCTTTTGTACAGGTAGATTTTTACGTCTACAATATATGTATTATTACTTTGTGAATTTCACAAAATAATAATACATGGCCCAAAAAAAATTTAGATTAGATTATTATAATTTACCAAACCAATATATTATGAGGTTTATGTTGCAATAGATGATTTGAGTATATTATGAGGTTTATGTTGTAGCCTGAAGAATGTTTATATTTTATTGCTTTGAAATCCATGAGCATATTTCAATTTTTGCCAAGAAATTGTTGTTATTCACCATATTCATATCAATTCTCAGAGAAATTTTCTTTTAGGTATTTATTTTATGAATTTTAGTAGATGAGACTATTTCAGTGGAACATTACAATGCCTCAGCAACATAAACATCAGAATGTGGAATCTAAATTCCTCTATTTAATACTATATAAAAAAGGTGTCACTAACTTAATAACAATTAAATTAGTTTATGGTGGTAGTTATGTATTGCTTTTTAAATCTTATTTTAAATTTTACAAGAAATTGTTGATTTTATATTTTCTTAGCATTTTTAATGAATTAACCACTAAAATTAAGCAGTCAAATATGGTACCTACTAACGTGCTAGTTTCTCACAATTAAAATAATTATAATAATTTAATATCATTGTTGTGAGAACATGCAGAAAGTTTTGATCTACACGGGGCAAAAATCCCCGCACAAAAAATCCTTGTTTGGGGGATAAATCCCTGCGGGGGGAAATTGCCCGCAAAGCCTTGTTCATCAGGTCGGGCTGGGATGGGGATGGGCGTGATTCCATCCCCATGGGTCGGGGACGGTCATGAGAAAAATTTCCGCCCACGGGGACAGTCATGGGAGTGGGTAACGGGGACGGGGACGGTGAATAGGGTCCCTGGTTAGCCCGTGCCCATCCCTACGGACAACCGAGGTCAGGGGTGTTGGGGGTTTTGGTGGAGGGATGCCTATAGTGCTATGGGTGGTGTCATGAGTGATTTTCGGCACAAAGATCAGTCGGAATTTGGCTAGAAAGGTGTGACCACCAAGTGAAACCCTAAGGCAAAGGCGATGGCGATCGACGAGCAATTGTGATTAGCAATATTAGGGGTTTTGGTTGGGAGAAGCTGATGATGCTATTGGCTGTGTCGAGGGTGGTTTCCAGTGTCGGGATCAGCCGAAATTTGGATTAAATGCTCAACCGAAACTAAGAGCGGTAACCGTCGATTGGGGGGTTCAATTAGGCGGGAAGGTTAGGGGTTTTGATGTGGGGGTTGAGGGGATTGTAATGATGGTGTCGGATGAGATTGACTGCACCAGAAACATGCCGGATTGGCCTGAAATCGCCGGTCGCACAATGGGGTGAATTTGAGATATGAGGGTTATTTTAAAATTTTTATCTTTGAAATGTTACCATTTTAACCGTTACATTAACTAATTTTCTGTTAATTTAAGAGTGGGAATCTGAAATTTTTGAAACTAAGGGTGGGAACTTACCGTTTGGCCAAACCTCGGGTGGAAGATGTCACTTACTCAATTAAATATTAACTCTAATGGAACATATCAGTCAACTGTAATGTAACCAAACCTAATTTCATGATATTAAAAAACATTATTGATTGTGACAACAGGTGAACGTAAGGTTGACTTTTTTGAATTTGAAATAATTATAATTTAATGAAGGCAACTTAACGTTGAAGTCATTCATTAATTAAGAGTTAATTAATTAATTAATTAATTAAAACAGTCAAATTTGTTGTGATTTATGAAAGAAATAGTCAGCCTCATTAACCCAACGCCGAATGACAATCCCTATTGACTCAGCGTCCTCTCACTAATAGAAATCAGCCACGTAACAAAACTAAATTCACATCAGTCGCCCGTCACAATCTCTTTTCATCAACCGTCCGTTACTCTACGCTCTCTTAAGCTCTCCCTTTTGTACTCTTCTTCTTCAACACAAGCAAATCTCTCTCTCTGAATAAAATCCAAAGATTTCTCTCTTTAAAATTAAAAAAAAAAAAAATTTAGAGACGCAAATGTCTCTGAGAAGGTCGTGTCTCTCTCGAAGGATCTCGAGATCGTTCTCGTTCAGGGAGACACAGAAATCGTTGAAAGAGACGCGACTCAGCGGCGCCGGTGACGACTCGGCTGAGTCGGACTCGGCCTCCGGGTCGTGGGCCGGGATGCTGCCCGAATTGTTGGGAGAAATCATAAAGCGCGTGGACACGAGTGAGGATCGCTGGCCTCAGCGCCAAAACGTCGTCGCATGTGCGTGCGTTTGTAAGAGATGGAGAGATATTACGAAAGATATTGTTGGGTCTCCTCTTCTTAATGGAAAAATAACTTTCCCTTCTTGCCTTAAGCAGGTCATTTTATTCTTTTAATTTTTAATTTTTTTTTTTTGAATTTTTTAAAATGATGAGTGGATTGAGCTTGGATCTTCGTAATTAGAGCTTGATTGAGGGATATTGATGTTCGTTCATGTGTTTTTCTTGCTTAATTTAGGTTATTTTCTTGATTTGATGTTAACTAGTCATCTTTTTTATTTTTTAAATTAGGGTTAATTAAGACAATGTAATACAGGAAAGATTAATAGTTTAAAATTTTTGAATTTTGGGATGACATTATGTTGGAATAGACGAGATGAACAACTTTACCAAATTTGGGATTTGGGATGTTTCATTTATGTGCTATTTTGAGCATTTTTGAGGGTATTATGCTAATCGAAAACATAGATGTTAGAAGGCATTTGAAGTCTTATAAAATTTGTAAATGTTAATGCTTTTTTGTGTTGCTACTTTTATTTGACTTCTCAGTAAACGAAATTAGAAAAGTTTTGTATATCTTAGTTTTATAAACTTCAACCTTTTTGTAGGAATTTTCTTTAAAAACAAGTGATACTTAAGAAATTGCCTTTTCATTGCCTTGATTGTTCATGTAAATTATGGGTTGGTGATTAGCTGTATGCCAATGAAATTGTTTGCAGTTCTGGAATTGATGTCTCTGTTATTTCTCTTTTAAATGCAGCCGGGTCCACGCGACCTTCCTCATCATTGTCTGATAAAGAGGAATAAGAAAACCTCAACCTTTTACCTTTATCTTGCTCTTACGCCATGTAAGTTACTCTTTTTGAAGTTGAATCGGTCATAAAAAGAGAACCATGAAAGCTGTTTCTTGGTCGAACTTACTATGTTTTCTCAACAGCAACATTTATTTGACTGGATATATATTTAATTCGCACATGCAGTTAACAAGTATTAAATATGAAAGGGATATATTTCATTTTTTCAAATCTGTGGATTGACTTTTCAGTCTTGGTAGGGACATGACATTTTAGTCAACTTGATTTGGTCTGAACTTGATAATTTTTAAGTTTTAGAAAGCAAATTGTTCCATTTTTCTTTAATATATTCTGATTACTAGATCATCTGTTAAAAACCATTTATAGTTATACAATAATGTGATAGATGCATATTGGTATTCTTTTATATCTTTTAGACACATGTTTATTTTCCGTGTGATTCTCCTTTTTTAACTGTTGAGAGTGAACCATAGATAGAATGTTTGTATGGGTACTCCCAACATTGAAATATCCATGGAACGAAGGTTGCTCATGAGCTAGGATATTGTGTTATTCTTGATCTGGGATTTTGATGTAGGATATTGGTAGAATGGAGCGTGATGGCTTTTTCTGGGATAATACAAATAGTTTATAAGTAGGATAATTGCGCATTCATGCATCTTCAAAATTTGTAGTCTAGGAGGAAAGAGTAAGATGGCATAAAAGAAGAGCAATTTTAGAAGAAACTAAAAAAGTATATAATTTATTAGAAAGAATTGTGAAGTCCATTGAGTTGTTAGCCAATAATTGGAATTTTACTTTTTAAGTTTTTGAATTTAACAATTAGGTTTTGTTGCAATAAATGCTGATGCTAAGTTTGTGATTAATCTTAAGTAATTTATCAGCTTAGAGTTGCTTTCAAATCTTGAATCCTTTTCCCCTTTCTGCCTCTCTGCTCATCTCGTTGATTCAAAGACATCAGCCATGCATCTTGCTTACATAATAGCTAAAGCTTTCTCTTTCTAACATTGTGTAGAATTTATTGTAATGGCTGAATTTGCATCTTGTGGTCTATAGTATAGCTTTACAAAAGGTTAATGGTGCAATGAATCCCATTCTTTTCCTGCTGCGGCCCCCTCCATTCACCCACCCCTCCCACCCCCCCAATTTTATTTTTCAATCCTTGAATTCTTTAGCCGAGTCTTCAAATGTGGGAAACACAGAGGGTGGTGTCTTGGCACTTAACATGATTATAACTTTCAGCCTACAAGAGAAAAAGGGTAAACCCAGTCAACTATTCAATTGAACTGACCTTTACAATTACAAATTCAGTTGATATGAATACAATATATTGAACAATTAAACCATGGATCCAAAATTTTCAGGGTTATACTTTATGCCATGGAAATGTTTATTTAAATTTCAATGGTTTCTTATTCTTTGGCAGTTGTTTATGAAAAGATTTATAATAAATGTGGTGCAATTAGTTAAACAACTTGATTGGGTGACCAACTTGGTCTAATATTTAGGTAGTCATGTGTTTAGCTAAGTTTCATTCTAATTGTAATATTTGTTTCCACCAAGCTTGATGTTAGAGGTTAATTTTTTTATCTTTCCTCAGTTTTGAATATGTACTGCAGTTCTTTTACTTGCAATTAGAACTTTGATGGCCTTGCTTTTGAACTCTTGATCATTCATTCTTTCCTATTGTTCTTGCTTCCAGCATTCAACGATAAGGGAAAGTTTCTTTTAGCAGCTCGGAGATATAGATGTGGTGCTCACACTGAGTATATTATGTCACTTGATGCCGATGATCTATCTCAAGGAAGTAATGCCTACGTTGGAAAATTAAGGTATAATGTTTATTTAAAGAAGTTTGTGTGAGGCATTATAAGTTTTTTGCTTTGTTCGTAATACAGCTATCAGAATTTCTATGATTGTGTTTCGATACCTTTTCAATTATATATTTGATTGAAATTTGACTTTTCAAACTTTGTCTTACATTGTATGTTATGTCTTCCTGAAAAAGATGTTGTCTTGATTATGGCATCTTTTGCAAATTTTCTTTTTAGGGTTCATTATGTGACCAAAGCTCAATTTCCTTTCACAATTTTTAGTTTATATTCTCAGTTGCGTTTAAATTTTTGCAGTTCGGATTTTCTTGGCACAAACTTTACAATCTATGATAGTCAGCCACCACATAGTGGTGCAAAGCCTTCAAGCAGTAGGTCTAGTCGAAGATTTGCAAGCAAGCAAATAAGCCCCCAAGTACCGGCGGGCAATTTTGAGATTGGACAAGTCTCTTATAAGTTTAACCTCCTAAAGTCAAGAGGTCCAAGGAGAATGGTTTGCACACTGAAGTGCCCATCATCAGGAGAAACGGCTAGTGACAAGTATCTGGACAATTCTGAGATGAAGAAATCAGAGACTGCTGTTTCTGGGTACACAGTTTTGAGAAATAAATCGCCAAGGTGGCATGAACATTTGCAGTGCTGGTGCTTGAATTTCCATGGACGGGTAACAATAGCATCAGTAAAGAACTTTCAGCTGGTAGCAACAGTGGACCAAAGCCAACCAGGAGGAAAAGGAGATGAAGAAACAGTTCTCCTCCAGTTTGGTAAAGTGGCAGATGATACTTTCACAATGGATTACAGGCAGCCGTTGTCAGCCTTCCAGGCATTTGCCATCTGCCTTACAAGCTTCGGCACAAAATTGGCATGTGAGTAACATGGTTGGGTATGTTATATATAGTTACCGGTTCAGGTGGATGTTTTATGATTATTGCTTCACTTACTGTAGTCTTGAACAGTTTTGTGGGAGGAAGCATATGATGTACATGTTGCTGTTGTATGAGTACAACTTTGTTGAATTATTATTGGTTGCTTAAAAATCTTCCAATGGCTAGAAACAGCGTCCAAGAATTGATTATTAGCGCCCATTGTTTAGAGTCGGTCGTTTGGAGCAGGGAGTCTCTCTGGTATCTGATAATGCTTATATTTAAGCTAAAAGAATTGTGCAATTAAACTCCGGGATTCAAAGGCGAAACGGTCTTTGTATTTTGCAATGCATTTGATGAAGAGGTCTTGGGCTCATGGCAATTGGTTCTTTTAAACCAGATAAAACAAGGCGTGTTCTCTTATAAATATCTCAGTCCTTTAAAATAATAATGATAATCACCAAAAAAATATCATAAAACTACTTCGAGAGAGTAGGTAAAATAGTATTCTTTTAAGCTAAGTGTAATTGGTATACAGGAGTAATAACAGAAGTTCTCTGGTGAATAGACTTAAATCAAGAAAAGACCCATCAAACACAAAATGAGATTCTTCTGGTTTTTCGTTGTCGGCTAAGCCAAAAAGTGCCCTTTAGTTAAAATAAAATGAATAATGTTACAACTTTCAATCCATTTAATGTCATTAAATTTCAATTGTATTGTAATTTGACCTGAACTATAACTTGGGGATCAGTGTTTGAGATCATACATCATATCTCATATAGAGAAGTTGAGTGCTCAACAAGCTGGCTTGGAGACCAAGAAAGGGACCTTACCAGTTACCCCAATTGAATCTCAAGGGTCAGCATTCTTACTAAATACAACCAAACCAATTTCTCTCTGGCTGACCCTGACCCCAATTGAATCTCAAGGATCAACTTTCTTATTATAAACAACCAAATAAATTTCTCTCTGGCTCTGGGGTGGAATGCCAGAGAAACATTCAATGCATAAATCTGAGTTGGGAACAGCAAACTGCTGCTGTGATGATCGTTCATTACCAAACGATGCTGTAGTCAGTAGGGAATGAATAGCCTAAAAATATATATAAGAATTCTGTTACATATTCCATGTTTAAATCCAAATTTCCAAACAGATTTAACATTTAAAAATGACCTGTGACTTTTATATAAAGAATAATATTACTCTTCACTAATGATACCAAGTTTCCTATCCCAAGTGATTTGTTCTCAACTCTCAAGTGACTTTGATGTGTAAATGAGAAATTGATGTGTTAAATGACATTTCGACACCACATGAGACTACACATCATTTGAGATGAAAAATTTAGGATTTCATTTGAGAAAATAATATTACTCTTATATAAGAAAGAGCAATATTACTCATATATAAATTATATTATCTTCTAGTGGCTTAAGATACAATCATTCAGTCCAATGTTTTAAAACCTAGCCCGACCCAACTGGTTGAACCGAGACACTAGAGCCTTCACCAAGTTTAAGTTATAAATCTTCCTATTTATTGAAAACCCTATAAATTAGGACATAAACAATTGAAGACTACAATGTTCTTTTAAAAAGAAATTACCAGTGAGTGTGAATGAATTGACCGATCGAAAATTGCAAAACAATGTCGCCAGATAAAGCCTACCTTGCCGATGATTGGAGAGACGAACTGGGGAAGGGTGAGATAGATTTTAGTCAGGAGGCTGAGGAGAGTATTTTGTGGTGATAGGGAGTATTGTCGCCGCCCGAAATAGGCACTATTTACCGACACCAACAATGGTGTTTTAGGTGTTTTTGCAAAATTTCAAACCTATAAAAACTTAGATGTAATTTTCAAAGGTATTTTTGTTAGATATTAAATCTATGGACATCGGTTTGATCCACCTGTCAAACCAATCAACCTGAGACCCGACCACTTTGCAAGGTTTCACCCGGGTTGAGTTTTAAAAAATTTGATCCAGTCCATATTCATCCTCTAATCACTCCAGGTTTACATAGGAATGGCAATGACAATTTACTGTGCAAATCTTCTCAACACAAATAAATTGCTATAGCGTAGAAATTGACAATGGCACTTTCAGCTTATGATGCAATAAGCACATGAAATACAGTTAAGTGCAAGTCAAAGACCGACCTCAAAGATTTATAGTGATAACAAAGAGTCAAACTCTAAAAGACACTTCTAATAAGCGAACCATGACAACGGTAGAACAAGTTCATATATACCACCAATTTTAAAGACTCACACAACAAACGACAACATTAAAAGTACTGGAAGTAGTTTCCTACAAGTTTCACTTCACTTCTTTCCTCGCAGTTTTGCACCAAGGGCCCTCTCCAGCTTGGTAAGTATCTGATGATTAGGAATGGCTTTACCAGACTCATACTCCTGTATAATTTGGGGCTTTTCATTGATCAGCTGCACAGAAAAGGAAGAATTAGTCAAGTGTCCTAATTAAGAATTATATATATGCATGGGGAGGGAGAGAGACCTGAGCAAGTTGAGACTGGGTAAGTTTCTTTTCTGTTCGTGCCTGCATAATTGCTTTCTTGAGTTCAGTTGGAACACGTTCGTCTGTTCATTTATAAAAACACCACAATAGAAGTTAGAATACTTTTATCCTCTCTTAGTGAAAATACTGCAAACAGGACAAATTAATGCATAACACCCAAAAAAAAAAAAAAAAAAAAAATATTGAAAGTTGGAAACAACAAACTTTAGTATAAATTAAGGAGAGGCAAGCGTGAAAAAATTTCTTGTAATACACATTAGTCAATTTCACTTGCCAGTATACATCACAGACTATTTAAATAACAATTATGAGAAGTATAAGACAAGATTGGTTGGTTCAGAACAAATAACAAAAAAACTTACTGTTATGACCTTATAACAAGCTTTTGAAATGAGACAAACAAATCCACAGCTTATGCCAAACAAGACTCAGCAGACTGAATTAAAAGCATGTGATATGCTCTTGATAGTCTTACAAACTATTCAATTCTTAATCCTTATTCAGATATCTCTTGATTCACATGATTTCTAATCATTCACTTGCTTTGACTACTTATGTTATGGTTGGGAGCATCAATTAAAAGCCTGGGATATAAATGACAGGATGTTATTGAAATTCTAAGGCTGACTTGATGGTCAGGCAATGAACCAGGGAAAGCATATAATTTCAAGGTTCAGCTATTTTAACAGTATGCACCCACCCATGTTTTCCATCATTCGAGCACCCCCTATACCTTTCAATCCACTATGATACTGACTATACAATACTAGTTAACCTAGAACAGCTGCACATGCTCAAACATGATAATCCACCCTGCAACACTAACTACCTACATCATATGCAATATCATAACACGACACTATCATATAATATAACTTTTGCACGAAGCTAACTCACGATCACCATATCAAACCATTTTAAAAACAGATGGACAGTACAATAAACACATTATCAATAACTTGAGAATGGTTGGTTGAAGATTTTTCCTCTGGAGGAGCTCTGAAACCTTCCAAGTCTATACAAGGTGCATAATTATAATAACAAGTAAACAAAGTTTAAGATACAAAATATAAGAAAGATACTCACGAGCAAGATTCTCTGTATCTTCATCAAGTTTCCTCGTGTTCAAAGAAGTGCTGCTGGAGGCAGCCTTGTTTGTGCCGCATTTGCTGCAGGGGAAACAAAAGACTAAGCATTTAAGCAGCTCATAATTGCATATTTACAAGCTGACTTTTGAAGATCACCACTATCCAATTCATATCCTTGACACAGGTACAGGGTAAATGAATGTCTTATCATAAACAAATATCTCGTTAGAAAACCCACTAAACTGTATTAGATTAACAAAAGTTTGGTGTCAACATTACTCATTGTTCAGAATGATCCAAACAACGGAATAACCATCTCATTTAATTCAAATTTTCATGCTGTACATACAATAGAAACCAAAACACAAGATCAGCTTGCAACATATTTCATATCAAAAGAAGTACTCATTTGATGAGAAAACCAACATCAAACCCATCAAAGACCTTTTCATTCCACGTTACCATTAAGAGAAATAACTACCCACCTAAACAGAAAAACCCTAAATATTCATATAAAAATGATTCATCTCCCAAAGAATACAAAACCCATCAACAGAAAAGTACAAGAAATGTGACAAAAAGCTGATGTACACCTAACAAAGTAAATAACAATCCATAAACCCTAAAACAAGTCATTTTCAGCTGATATAAAAGCTCAATTACCAGATTATATAGGCATCTAAGATAAGAAATAAGAGCAAATTAAAGATTAAAAGGTCAAAATATGAAGAGAGAGTTAACATTTTTTTATGGTTTCAATATCGGCGCCAGAGGACGGGCGGCGTTGACGACTTTCTCATCTTTCTTGGCGGCGGCGTTGGGGGCTTTCTTCCTAATGACGACGGGTTCCCAGTCCTGTGAATAGGTCCAACTCCGCCATTTTCGCAAATATCTCAAGCTCCTGTTGATTGATAGATTGATTCGATGAAATGATGAAATGAAATGCAATCTGATAGAAAATGCCCTTTGATTTATCTTTATAGGAGATTCCTTTGGTCCAGAGTGCCGTGTCGTATATATCTTGCGCCCTAATTTCTTTATTTCCCTTTTTACCCTTGTTTATTTGCGTTTTCTCAATTTCACCTTCCATTTAAGTTTTAATACAGTTCATTTATTTATTTTTAATTTTAGTTGTTTGAGTAAATAATCTAAATCATGTAGGACGAATGCATTTGTTTTTTCCAGTTTAATTTACTATTTATTTTAATAAGAATTTCAAAATTAAATGTATTTAATAAATCTTGTACAATAGTAATTTGGATATATTAATAAAGTATTTTAATTTTCTTTTTTTTAATATTCAAGTCAAATTTCAAAAGTTAATATGTAATTAAGTAGAAAACAGAAAACCAACATAAGGGGGGTGAGTGCGAATATAGGCTATGTTTAACCAACAAAATATGCTTCTATTAGTTTGTTCAAGCTGTAAATTACATTCACCACATTTAATTAGAAATAGAAACTACTGTCTTTATGCTATTCATTTTTACATTTTCAACCCCTGAACTTCTCATATGCAAATGGTAAAAAAAATTACTAAAAACCAAAGCTTAAATCTATGATCTATGCAGTGTTTTTCTAGACTTCTAGTCAGCATATCGGCTACTACTGAGGAATGCCGAAATTCAGAAAACAAAGGTAAGGAATGATGGAGTTAACTCAAATCCAACAGCACTTTACATTAGCAAACGCCTCAGCGGTAGCAGTCTTGCGTTGAGAAGTAATGCTTCGAGTTAAACATCATAATCAAGGATTATCAGCTCTCTATCAACTAGCATAGTAGCTATCTGCAACGCAACAAATGGGTTAATGTACAGAAAGTAGTTTCATGTCAGGAAAATGAAATACAAAAAGATTCAAATCGTTTAAGCAAACCATCGATAGAGTGTTTATCGAACAGGCAACTTCAATTCTCGCAGAGATTACAAGTGTCATCCGTCAAGGATTCTTGATGTCGCAGTTAGAATTCCAACTGCGGGTTGAAGCCCCATTTTGACTCCTTGAAATGTGTCTAACCTGTAAAGTAAATAACAAATTTTGAGTTCTTTTCAGAGAAACAAAATTCTACATATAAAATGCTAGGTAGCAGTCGCATCTGTATGAGTCCATCTCACATCTTTGGCGTCCTCCCTAATAGAATGGGAAGAGATATGAAAAAAGGGAGAATGGGAATTACTTGCGTCATGGAACCGAGAACTTAATTTGGAGATTTGTTTGGTCGCAACTGTTTTGGCATCCTCTTAAATACAAACTTAGCTTCCTCGGGTCTTCCACCGGCTTCTAGGGCATTTTTCAAATCTTCTAGGCAAGACAAATGTTGATGGAGCCCTTTCTCCACCTCCACCAATTCATAGTACAATTCAAATGCTTCTGAAAGTTTATGGATTTTACATAGACCTTCAATAACCGTGCTGTATAGGTGAATATCAACACTATGATTCTTCTGCAAACTAAATAACAACATTTTATGTGCCTCTAAGATCTTTCTACTCTGACAAAGGAAACTGATTACTTCTCCTATCTCAATCACAAATCCGTTATCATAAAGCAAACCAACAATCTGAAATGCTTTATCCCTCAGTCCACTACCAAAGAGTAAAATAACAGTACGCGTTGAAAGAGTGATGCTCTGTCTAATTTTTTTCTCCAACATTAACATTACCAAGCTTGCAGATTCATGGGCACTCTTCTTTTTCACAAGTTCTGCAAGTATAGAGTGGAAAGTAGATGTTCGAGGAAGATGAGAGCTCTTCAGCATCTTCTCTAGAGTCTCCTGGGCAAGAAGAGGATCACCCTTCTGCAAGAGACCGTTAATCAACGAATCATACATCTCAAAATCAGGCACATAATCTCTCCTTAACATCAAAACCAACAGCTCATAGCCAGCTTTAAATCTACCTTCCTTACAATGTCCTACGATCAAAGTCTTGAAAGATGACGGATCTTGTGTTCCTCTCCTCATTAGCTGCCTAAAAACTTTCTCTGCCTTCTTAGTCTTCCCATTTCCACACAGATACTCAAACATGGGATTGTATGCAGCAACCAGAGGAGTACACCCAGTATCACTCAACAGGATCTCTTTCTCTGAAAGCTCATCAAACAACTTCTCCGCTCTCTCAAAATCACTAGAGTGACACAAACTCCTTATCAGAGCACTATACGTACTCGAATCTGGCAGGACCTGCAACTCCCTCATCTTATCAAACATCTCAAATGCCTCAACCAAGTTCCCTCCACTACAATGTGCAACCATCACTGTGTTGAAAGTACACGTATCAGGAGTAAATCCTCCACTTTCTTTTGCTCCCTCCAAAACTTCCCTTATCTTCTCAAACTTCCTAACTTCACAAAGACCCTTTATAAGAGTATTATACGTAATTCCACTAGGCTTCAATCCTTGACTGATCATCTCTTCGAAAACAAGCAAAGCCTCATCAATCTCTTGTTTCATGCAATACCCTCTAATCAAAGTGGTATAAGAAACAACATTCGGTTTCAAATCCACATTCTTCTTCCCCATACCCTTGACGACATTGCAAGCTATCTTAACCTTACCGGCTCTACACAACCCATCAACAATTGTATTAAACGTAACAACATCAGGGACACACTTAAACCTTTCCATTTCTTTAAAAAACCTAAACCCTTCATCAACCATTGAATTCTTACAAAACCCTCTAATCAAAATGTTAAAAGTATAAACATCCGGTGTAACACCAAACGTGCTAAGCATTTCATCGAACACGTTCTTTGCCATACTGGTTCTTCCCCTTTTAAACAAAACTAACAAAAGAATATTAAAAGTAACAGCAGAAGGCGAAACCCCCATACTTTTCATCATTGTGAACATCTTTATAGACTCTTGAAACAAACCCGCTTCACCATAGCTCCTAATCAAACTATTAAAGAATTTGTCCTCCAGTTTAACCACCCCATCAGATCTCTTCTCAATGGAGAGAAGAAAATTACGAGCCACGTTAAGGTTTCGGTTTCGGCCCAATATTTCAAGCATTAAAAAGAATGATTGGTGATTGTGGGCGAAACCCATCTGCTGAACCCAGTTGAAAAATTGAAGGGCTTTTTGCGGAGATTTAATCAGGCGAAGAGTTTGATCAACGGTGGTTTTAGAGAGAGATGGGGCTAGAGAAGAGAAAGACGACTGGAGCTCACTTGACCAGGAGTTTGTGTTAATGAGTCGGGCCATGGATATAGCCGTGCTGGTTTTTGTCGTTGATTTGGGCCTTTTGGAGCTCTGCCTCATTCGCTGTTTGGTGCTTTTATGATTACCAGTGAAATTACAGTTGGTTTCCGAGGAGAAACACCTGAATTTGTGAAGCTGAGGCGGATGGTGATGGGAGCTGGAGTTAAGGAATTGCTCAACGAAGAATGATAAGATTCGCGCCATCAAAATGAATTCTGATTGTCCGCGCTCTATTTATAAATTTTAAATGCCCTTTTCAATTTCACTACAGGATTTTCGAATGAATGCTGGGCTGGACCACCTTGAATGGCGTGAGCCACATGCGGGGAGACCCGCACGTACGGTTTTTAGGGGGATCTGGTGGAAAGGAAAGACCGGCCGACGCCCACCCGACTAGAGGGACTGAGAAATTAATAGATTACAAAACTTATCTTCAAGCTTTACCTTATTCTGATAGTTCAGAGGGCGATCGTGGAGTCACTGAATGAAGTCCTCCGTTTCTTTCGGAGGTGCTGACCCGCAGCAAGGCAGAGATGACTAAGTGGCATATGAAATATGGCGACAACAACCGCATGTCGTCGAAGGAGATAACAGGTGGAGCCAACGACCCACTAAGACTAACGTATCTAAAACTACATCCCCGAGCGGTAGTCAAACGGAGGCGTGAATGTAAGATGCGAGCAGAATGATATACCGGACAGAGGCTAGGGCTGCTTCCTTCCCACCACGTCCGTCCTTGTGTGTCGGAGATATAAAGCGAGTGCACTGGAAAAGAACGGGAACTATGATTGGGATTACCACCCTGGGTGACTAAATGGTAAGAGAGCAAAGGGATTGAGTACGGTTTCTGAGTTTGAGTTTCTTCGTACCTAATAGGAACGAGCATCGTGAGAATTTATCTCGCTGGTTTCGGAGAATTATTAAGGCGTGTGTAAATTACTAAATTTTTATAAAAAAAATAAAAATATTGGGCCTTACCTAAAAATGGATGCTTTGACACATCCTTAAGACACAAGAAGATACTGTAATTTGTTTTGGAATAGGATTTTGAAGTTTAAATTTAGTTAAAAATTCAGTAAATCCTCATTTCATTTATCTTAATTTACTTAGATACTTTTCTAGTTAATGGATTATGGATAAAGAGATTGGCACAATGTATACTCTAAATTATTTTTGTATGAGCCAAAAATCCAATTAAACCTGACGAGGTCCAATAGCATCATAAACTTGTAACAACCCTGGGCCTTGGCCCAATTTCGATTGAATCCATACTTAGAATACCTTGTAAGCTGCATGCTCTATGAGTTGGGCTATCCCACGAGTTAAGTTAAACTGAGTCCGGCCTATTCGCTGACAATAGTTCATAATAAGGATCAGAATCCTAGTTAATTTCCTCTTAACAAGATCCCAGATCTCACCCAAAGAGGAAAGTCTGAATCGATAAAGGCAGAAAATCTAATCTCCTTCCAAAATGATAACTCATCTACTAAGTAGGACTTAGAGTCCTATTAGGATTCGGACTCCTTGGGTTCACTATATAAACAACGGTTCATTAGGCATGGCGAAATCACCTATAAGTTCCAATACTCTTACTCCCAAGCTCTTTGCATATTTCGACGACATTCCCATGTTGATTAACAATGGCTCGCATCATAAGATTCTGTCTTCACAAGTTCAATTGTAAATTTTATCGTTTGCAATTTCCTAGTTAATTATTGAATTAATTATCAGTCGATCTTTATATAATATCTTAGTTCTCTTAGTTATACCACTCAATGACTCAATAGTTCAATTATTGGGTAATCTTGAGATAGGGCATCCTAGTTTGATTCCAAATTTATTTCCTAGATAAAAAAACCATTTCCTGAATGCAGTTTCCTAACTCTACTAGGGATCAAAATCACTGCTTATTTAAGTCACATTTCACCAGGTTAATTAATTGCATGTTTAAGTTTGTTTCAAGATGATAATCAAACGTAAAATGAGAGCGCAACCTGAAATCTCACCATGCAAGAGAAGATTACTGCAGATAGCAATGGGATCATTCTATCTCCCTAAAGATGAAGACTCACTGCCACTTGGGCAAGATGCCCACTTCGTTTGTCAAGAGAAGCAGACTTTCGGGGTGGCTGATGGCGTTGGTGGCTGGAATAAAATAGGGATTGACTCAGGTGTATATGCACGTGAGCTCATGACAAACTCTCTTATTGCATTATCCGGTTTACCCAAGTAAGCCGTGGTGGATCCAAAGAAAGTTTTNGTTTGACCAAGTATATATTATCGCATTATCTTTATTTAATTTTAAAATTCTATAGTATACCCTTGTTTAATGTAGTACATTTTTTAGTCATTTTATAATAAAATATACTTATAAGCCACATTTTACCAAACGCATTAACTACTTATCAGTCACTTATAAGTACTTTGACCAAACACGTAATTGCTTAAAATTTCAAATGCTTATAAGTTAAAATTAGCTTATAAGCACTTGTTGCTTATAAGCTAATTTTCATAAGCTTAGACAAACACCCCCTTAATTGCACGTTTAAGGGGGTGTTTGTCTAAGCTTATAAGCTGTCAAACTTGCTTATAAGCTCTAAAATTAAGCTGACCTGTTTGTTTATAATTTTTTTGAGCTTATAAGTTGAGCTTATAAGCTAAAAAAAATAAGTTGGGGGGGAGGTACTTTTTTTTTTTTTAGCTTATAAGCACTTTGCTTATAAGCTAGTTTGACCAAGTATATTACCACATTATCCTTATTTAATTTTAAAATTCCATAGTATACCATTGTTTAATGTAGTACATTTTTTAGTAATTTTATAATAAAATGTACTTATAAGCCACATTTTACCAAACACCTTAATTACTTATCAATCACTTATAAGTACTTTAACCAAACACGTAATTGTTTAAAATTTCAAATGCTTATAAGTTAATTTTAACTTATAAGCAATTGTTGCTTATAAGCTAATTTTCATAAGCTCAGACAAACACCCTCTAAGTTTGTTTCAAGAAGATAATCAAACATAAAATGAGATTGCAACCTGAAATCTCACCATGCAAGAGAAGATTACTGCAGATAGCAATGGGATCATTCTATCTCCCTAAAGATGAAGACTCACTACCACTTGGGCAAGATGCCCACTTCGTTTGTCAAGAGAAACAGGCTTTCAGGGTGGTTGATGGCGTTGGTGGCTGGAATAAAATAGGGATTGACTCAAGTGTATATGCACGTGAGCTCATGACAAACTCTCTTATTGCATTATCCGGTTTACCCAAGTAAGCCGTGGTGGATCCAAAGAAAGTTTTGAAAGATGCCTATTCGATCACCAAGGCTCAAGGTTCATCCACTGTGTGCATTGTTACTTTAAAAGATTATTGTTTACATGCTGCGAATATGGGAGACAGTGGATTTATGCATTTTAGAAACAAGAAATTTATATATCAGTCATCGGTGCAACAACGTCGTTTTAATTGTCCATGTGAATTGGGTAATGGAAAGAGCAGCGATTGTCCTGATATTGTTGAAGAGTCGAAAGTGATGGTGGAGAGTGGAGGTATTGTAGTTTGCAGAAGTGATGGGTTACTTGATAATATGTTTCCGTTGGAGATTGAATGAATTCTAAAGGGGACAAAAGGAAAAATATGGAGGAAATTTAACTCCCCGAACATCCCAAGTTTGCATTTAACAAAATGACCCTAAAAATCTTTTTTATTATTATTTTTTTAATTTAGAAAAGCTGACGTGGCACACTTAGGATTCATTAAACATGTGAAATGGGTTAAACTGAAAAGATTTAAACAAATGTGGGTAAAATATAATTAACGAAAGTTGTTTAAATTTTGAAATTTGAAAATAAGCCCCACCCATTCAAAATCGCTTAATCGAAGGTGTTAGCCAAAAAATGACCGACGAAGACTATTCCTTTCTCTGCGATTTCTGGCGACTACAATGCCCAAATTCCGATAAATTTTCAATCCTAAAGCTTCCTTACACAAAATCATGGCTGACATTCACAAAGAGGAGGAAAACCCAACCCTTCTTCGAATCCTAGACTCCGACGGCTCCAACAGTTCAAAGGCTATCGAAAACGACGCTCCGGTGGATCATTCGATGAGTGAAGGTGGTCCACATGTAAAGGAGATGACGGCGACACCAGAATAGAGAGAAGAATTAGAAAATAGTTTTGAAGAAGAGGACACCAGCGAGAATTCAAGCGAGGAGGATGACGCCGGTGAAGAAATGGTATGTATTTTTACTTGTTTTTTTGAATTGAATGAGAAAATGGATTGATTTGTGCGAATTTAGGGGAGATGTGGTTGTGGTGTTTTGTCTAGTAGTTGGCAGGCATTGGTGGAGTCACTTTGTTTGGGTTCCAAAGGATAGGGGAAGGCAAGAGAAGCCATAGGGAGGTTGTTTTAGGGAGTTTAGTGGGCTGGGGATGGCAGGAGGTGGCTGATTTGGCAGGCTGGAGGGCTACCTTGCATATTGGCAAGGCTGGCCACGCACAGCGCTGCGCGCGCTGTGCTGTGCAAAGGGTTGCATGATTGTTTGCATAGATTTTAGAATTTAGTGTGAGATTCAGACCAAGTAAGATAGGGAACATATTCATATGGAAGTTGAAAACAAAATTAAATGTGTATAATTTGGAGATAGATTACATAAATTTAGAATAGAAAACTAACAGCCGAAAGATTCATTAGTTCTAAAAAGAAGGATATACCCTGGACAAAGCATCCATAGCACCTCCCATATGATTGATGTCATTAATGTCCAAGCAATTTACTAGAGCTTGCAACAGTTCAGGCCATACCGAAATCCCACCTAGTTAAACAAAAAAACTAACAACAGTCCCAACAGTGGACCTAATATGCCTATCAACAACTCCTAAACAAGGCAACAACTCTGACTTTATATACTGTTGGTTTGTAGGAGCCATAGATTTGTATGTTGTTCTAAGGTTATTTTTCAATAGAAAACCAACAACTTGTTGAACCTACACTGATTTACCCTATTTAAAGTTCCCACAAACATAGTGGCAATTGTTAACCAGAAGCTTTAAGCTACATCACCACCTAGAAGTTATCAGAAGTATAACTAGAATTCAAAAATATTTCAAGTCAAAACCTCGATTCATTTTCACTTCAAGATTCAATATGTTATTAGTCCGACAAAGAGATCAGTAAGGTTGTAGTTCAGAGTTGTTATTTCAAAAGGGCATTAATCAAAATGACGTCAACTTGAGCAGATGAACTTTAAAATAGAATAGTGACAGCATTATTGCCCATAATTGACAACTGTAGGGTTGTAGGGGTTGCATGATTGTTTACAGGGCTGGCTATGACTATTGTGTTAGAAGTGTTAAATTGTAGGGCTGGCTATGATGCATTAGATTTTTCGTTGCTTTATTATATAACAGGCAAATTACTTTCTTTG